AGCCTCCACCTGCCCGCCAGGACCTGGTGATGGAGGTGTGAGTGCTGGTGCCCCCTCCATGGCCAGGACTGGTTATGTGTAGGGCCCACTGTCCCTTTGGCTCTGGCCCCATGGGGGAGCCACGGGTACTTCCCTGACATAACAGCTGGATCAGGAAGCATGGTGTGGACTTGGAACTCTCAGTTGCCAGTGACAGCAACTTACGCTGACTTCAGCTGAAAGGGGCATTGCTTGTCCCGTGGGACTGAAATGTCTTCAGGTAGCCTGGGCTCCAGGGGTGAGGCCCACGTCTCTCTTGCTGTCCATGCTGGCTCCAGGCTCAGGTGTCTGCCAGAGCCCCCGGCCACTGACAAGAGGGCATCCCCTTCCCTGGGCAGCAGAAGTCCCATTCTCACTGGGATGGTTTTGGCAACTATGCTCAGGAGAGACTGTACTGCTCACCATGCCAGGGTCTAATGGTCCCTGGGCCAGGGGCTGAGAGTGGGGACATTGCCCAGTAGAAGCAGGAGCCACCTTCCCCCTTCAGGATCGTGGTGGGGTCCTTATGAAATGGGGAGGTCATGAGATGTGAGTGACAGTGAGGGGACCAGGTGAGAAAGGGGTCTTGACTCCACCAAGTACATATCTCTGCTCCTGGTGGCTTCAGAGTTCAGACAGGACCAGTGACAGGGAGACTTGGCTTGGCTTGACCTAAGGCAGGACTTACAGAGAAAGTGCCCAGTGATGAAGACTGCCCTGGGCGGTGTCAGGCACCCCTGCCAGCTGAGGTAGTGGGGGGGGGTCAGTGAGACATGGCAAAGGGGCTGTTTCACCCAGGGCCTGGGAGGGCCCCTGGTCACTAGCTGAGTCAGTGACCAGTAGGACAACTGGAGGCTGCATAGAAGGGCCTTGGAACCTGCCACGGCTGAGGGCACCTCTGCTTGTGGCTTTGAGTGGGGGGCTCCCAGAGAGGACCTGGCCTGTGGAAGCACCATTGCTGATGGGTTCCCGGGCCATCTTCTGGGGGGGGACGGATGAAGTTCCCTGGCCCAGCTCTGCCTCACATTGCCCGGCTTGTTCCAGGATCCGGACGAGGTCCCTGGGTGGACCAAAGTCCTTGTGCTTAGGGCTGTCTGTCATACACCCCTTTTCTGCCTGCTGTTGCCTGGGAAGTGGCCTAATTAGATCCTTGAGAGGAGCGTCACCAGGCCTGGACTCTCACAGGCCCCTGGGAGCCTTTCAGCTGTGTCTAGAAGGGCAGGTCAGTGGCAGGGGTGAGTGTGTGTGTGTGCCTGCACTCTTGCTTGTGTGTCTGCATCCTGGCAGCCTGTGGCTCTGGTCTGGTGGCTTTGCGTGGAGGATCTGTAGGGAGTTGTCCTGGGCCTGGCAGTCTGGGGGCACTGGTGTTTGACAAGAGGCTGGGGGGGCCAGGCAGTGCTGCTGTGGCACCTGCTTTAGTCCCCTGCAAAGTCAGTTGGGGAGCCTGGGCTGAAGATCCCTGGTTTGGGGGCTGGCAGACCAGGGTTGGAATCCCGGCCCGTCTCTCTATTGTCCCTGGCTGTGTGATCTTTGGCAACCACTCTGCCTCTCTGGGCTCAGTTCTGAATCTGCAGAATGGCTGTGGCACCTTGGCCTTAGCGGGTTACAAAGAGGAGGGTGAACGTGCGTGCAGATACTGTGTGACAGTGGCACTCGGTTGTTACTACAAGGGACCATTTTAGAGGGGCCCTGGACTGGTGCCTCTCAGGGCAGGAATCTTGTGTTGTTGTGCAGACCCCAGAGTTGGAGGTCGATGTAGAGCACTCAGCAAATGCTTCTTGTGAAATGAAGAGCGATCACTTTAGATTTAGAGGTCGTAAACTAGTGAGCTGCACCTCTTTAAAATTAGGTAGGGTGTGGTGGCTCACTCCTATAATCCCAGCACTCTGCAGGGCCGAGGCAGAAGGACCTCTTGAGCTCAGGAGTTTGAGACTAGCCTGTGCAATAGCAAGACCCTGTGTCTACTAAAAATAGAAAAACTAACCCGGAATTGGGGTGAGCATCTGTAATCTCAGCTACTTAGGAGGATGAGGCAGGAGGATCGCTTGAGCCCAGGAGTTTGAGGTTGCTGTGAGCTAGGCTGATGCCATGGCACTCTAGCCTGGGTGTCTCCAAAAAAAACTTTTTAAAAAATTGATTGACTTGGGTGGCGCCTGTGGCTCAAAGGAGTAGGGTGCCAGCCCCATATGCCGGAGGTGGGGGGCTCAAGCCCAGCCCCAGCCAAAAACTGCAAAAAAAAAAAAAAAATTTGATCGCCAACATTTAAAAATCATCATTTCACATAGAAATCAGATTTGTGGCTCGGCGCCTATAGCTCA